CCTATGTCTCAGATCTTCTCTAATCAGGTCATTTCTGAAACGCAAAGCTTTAATGCAAGAAGTTGGCTAAGACAACGTGCAAATTCGCGATGAAGACCATAGGAAGTAAAAAGCAGCGAAATGTGCAATGTAAAGAGGAAGAATAACAACGAATTTTAGTAGTGTTACCATGCGACCATGCGGTAAATCGTGAAGCGCTCCAATCGGTTTCTGGCTAGACTACCGAAACTCTTCACCTCTGAGGGGCAACCAATCGACACCGCACCCGTTTGGAAGGATAAAAGTACTGCCCGCTGATAGATGACCCTCACAGAGTATTGTATTTGTGCAATGCACCTACTCATCACAAATAGGAATGGGGATTCAATGCGTAAAGAGTCGCGAAATGGGTAGGTCAAAGCTGAAAGATGTTCAACACTTTTGCAGATGGTTTGCCCGGAAGCCGTTTTTGCTTTCTATCTGAACCGTGACCTCTACAACAATGTTGTCGGTGGAGGTTGACTCTGTGTCGACCCCACCCACTACCAGGTACTGCCCTAAAATTTATGCTAGTCGAAGCTGACGATAGTTTTAAGGGCCCAATTGCATGGAAGTACCTTATCTCGGAGACTTATTGGCAAATACAACTCGGAGGGATCAAGACCAACGGGCAGCAAATTATCAACGGACTGGTCACCGCAATCGCCGATAGTGGTACCTCACTCATTGCTGGTCCACCTGCACTTGTCCAAGAGGTGAACGCCAACGTTACTGAGCTTCAATTTATGTCTTCTTCGCTCAATTCACAATTTCAGATCCAACAAGTAATCGGAGCAGGCCAATCAGGAGCAATCGACTGCAGCACTATTGCCAGTCTTCCATCAATCACTCTCTTCATCGGCGGAGCACAGCTGGTAATGTCGGCACNGGATCGTCTTATGTTGACAGAACTGAATGAAAGATTGGAGAATTCGCCCATCTTTTCCACATTTTACCCACAAATTTTGAAATCGCATGAAAAAAGCTTGATTTCGGATAATCAGCTCAATCTACGAGCTGAGAAAAATTTGCTGGATGAGGCTCTTTCAAGAGTATCGCTTCATGTCGGTGGTCGAACTAAACTTGAAAACACTGCGATATTTCGCTCATCACCTTGTGAACATCAATACTGGCTAGTCAACTGGCCAACATGGATAAAGTAAATCATCGAACCCAGATGTTCAACTTCCCTTGGCAGACACACTAAAGCTCACATCTATGAGAGTGACTCATAGGAAGGTTAGATGAATGTTTGGATGCAATTCTGTCAAACCCGATTGTCCCCAAGCTGTTCATTGTACGCCTAGCCGTCAACTACTCACACATCATTCTCAAATACACTTAATCTAATATGAATTTGAAAAATCTTCTGTCACTACTATTCTGTCGTCCAGATGACGTCCTTCCTGCTCTTGCTGTTGTCGACCTGGCTAGGCATCGATGCACTTTGGCGGTGAGTTCCGAATTCTACCCGTCGAGAGGGAATCCTTGAAAACTATTCAGTGTGCCCATATCAGAAGTACCTCTGGATCGGAATCACCATAATAAGGACGTCATCGCTGAATATCTGAGACAGAAATACATTACGAATTACACGTTCGTCTCGAGCTATGACGGTCAAGAACAGCTTTCCAATTATTCGAATGTGAGTCACCATTACAAGTGCACATCTAGTAGCTACTCAACTCGACCAGATTTAGGCACAGTACTATGGCACAATCCAGATTGGAACTCCACCTCAAACGTTCAAAGTGCTATTTGACACCGGCTCGTCCAACCTATGGGTCCCGTGCTCGAATTGTCCATACACCGACAAAGCTTGTTCACAACATCAGAAGGTAGTCGGACAACAAATTGCAGTGGAATCAATGCAAATGGACAACTTATCATTTTCAGTTCGATTGTGCTCAATCGCCAACTTGCACCCCAACATACTACCCCCTTCCGCTTCATTATGGGACCGGCTCGCTATAGGGTTACGTCGATTACGATGCTGTCTGTGTTAGTTTTGAATCTCTTCGAGGAAATTGCATATCGTAGAGTTTCCACCGCCTTTTTCAGTTTGGAACGAATCAAAGGTACTGCACCAATAGCTATCAAGGATTCATTTGTGCAACGCAGGAACCTGGGTGTCACATTGTGCAACGCAGGAACCTGGGTGTCACACATTCCTTGCAGGTTGATGTGGTATTCTTGTGACCAGATAAGATAACGAGACTTTTTAATTCCAGAACACACCATTCGACGGCATTCTCGGAATGGCATGGGATTCTATCGCAGTGGGAGGCATTCCCACACCTATGTCTCAGATCTTCTCTAATCAGGTCATTTCTGAAACGCAAAGCTTTAATGCAAGAAGTTGGCTAAGACAACGTGCAAATTCGCGATGAAGACCATAGGAAGTAAAAAGCAGCGAAATGTGCAATGTAAAGAGGAAGAATAACAACGAATTTTAGTAGTGTTACCATGCGACCATGCGGTAAATCGTGAAGCGCTCCAATCGGTTTCTGGCTAGACTACCGAAACTCTTCACCTCTGAGGGGCAACCAATCGACACCGCACCCGTTTGGAAGGATAAAAGTACTGCCCGCTGATAGATGACCCTCACAGAGTATTGTATTTGTGCAATGCACCTACTCATCACAAATAGGAATGGGGATTCAATGCGTAAAGAGTCGCGAAATGGGTAGGTCAAAGCTGAAAGATGTTCAACACTTTTGCAGATGGTTTGCCCGGAAGCCGTTTTTGCTTTCTATCTGAACCGTGACCTCTACAACAATGTTGTCGGTGGAGGTTGACTCTGTGTCGACCCCACCCACTACCAGGTACTGCCCTAAAATTTATGCTAGTCGAAGCTGACGATAGTTTTAAGGGCCCAATTGCATGGAAGTACCTTATCTCGGAGACTTATTGGCAAATACAACTCGGAGGGATCAAG